TGCGCACTCGAACTCAGGAGTCAGGTCTGTACTCCAACAGTTCACGTCATGCGAGCGCAGAATCTCACCACAATCAATACACCACCAAATGCCCATTACATAGCCCCCATTCTCCCTCGCCATCCAAGCCATCTCGTCCAACTCGCCGCCATCACCACCCGCCCTACGAAAGCCTACCCACCACCCAGGAAGCCGTCCTAGAGAACCGGGCTGATGTGTGCTTGATTGCCGACTCTCCCCAGCCACTTGGTGCCATCTGCATAACCTCATTTACCGTTGCTACCGTCTTCCCCCGAATACAAGTACGGTCATTATAGCTGTATGTATCTAGACTGAAAGATACCTCAAATACAGCTGTAACGACCGTACGTTGTATTCGGAGGGAAGAAGGTAGGCAAGGTAGCATAGATGTCAGTTTGTGGAACCAATTTTACTATGCTTTCTCACTCCCTCCTCGCCAAATAAAAGGTTTCGAGCACAAATCTCTACAGGGCAATGAAGAGGGGAGGGTTATCAAGACGGATCCCGAATGGAAGATTTTGTTTCTGCAGCCAGTCAAGGTTGGCCGCAGATAACATGGCCGCAGATAATCTTCCATTCAGGATGTGCCTTTTTGTCCAAACTATCCTCTATTCTTCTCTCATCATATCTCCCACTACCTACCTATCTGCCTACCTCTAGTTCAGTTTTGCCTTTTTTTTTTTTTTTTTTTCCCTTCCTAAGCTGGGCCTGCCCCCTTTTCTTTCGGGTTGATCCTCACCTCTGCTCTGTCCGGGGAGCAGTACCCCGGGGCCCGGCCCCGAACCCCTGGCATGGGACGGGAGGCCTTTGGCAATTGACCACCACCACCCAGGGGGCACGCCATCTATCTCCGCTGCTTAGCGCGAAGTGTGCCGCAGGCGACCGCGGGGAGTCCAATGCATGCCCCGGGGAATCGAACGCATGACGTCCTGAACGCCACTTGTGTCCTCTACCAACTGAGCTAGGCCAGCTGGGTCGGGCTGGCCATCTATTCAGGATCTGCATATATCTATCTGCATCCAGTCAGACAGATCCCAAATAGCGAGTCGAGGTCGCAGGCACTCAAGGCAGCATAGATTATGTGCAGAATTGGCTGCAGATGATAAGTCCGCTGGTATGGCAAGGTAGCATATATAGATGGTCTCCAGCCAGTCTTCAATAGAAGTGGTCAGCAGACGCTGTTAGCTTCCGGTGTTCCTGAAAGCAATCGCTGCACGCCGTTCACATCTGGACAACTTCGTCTTTACCCCGGTGACAATCAACGCAGAGAGAGCTGGTTGCATGAACCTGGTTGGTAGTTTAACCAGGTTCATGTCAAGAATTTTCTGGCATATTTTATAGACCTGCAAGACTGAGGGAGCAGTTGTGTAGCAGAGTGGATCTATAACTTTGAGCGCACCACCTCCTTTTCACAATGGCACCAGTTCGTCTATATCGGAGATGGATTGCAATGGCATCCGTCAAAGCCAGCTTTCCCCTATACTAGGGTACGGAATACACGGATGGCAACCACACCCAGCAAAGGCAGCGCCAATCCCTCTATCGCGGAAATGGATTCGCGTATGGTGATTAAAAAAAAAAGGCGTTTAGCTTTTCCTCTGTTGGAGTGGGTGGAGCTGTTTATTCTGCAAACGAAGTGGTCATCGGTCGACTCATACAGAGGGCAGCGTCCGCACGCGGAAATGTTGGCGCCCTTCGACAGACATTGGTTGAAACTTGAAAGTGACTGCTGCAAGCACGTTCATCTGACATTCGTGGACGACATGCA